TGCTTCTTTTACATGGTGGTTAAGCCACGGTGACTCTTTTTTAGGTCTCTTGCTATGTTTTTTAATTTGGGGTATACATTTAAGTTGGGCCTCTATTATGGTGTCTTTAAAAAGTTTCCATGCAGCTTTCAGGGATTTGGCTCTAGTCACTGTGCCTTTTAATTTCTGTTTAACTAACCTCCTCATTTTTGTGTAATTCCCCTTTTTGAAATTAAATGCCAGGGTGCTGGACTGCTGAGGTGTTCTTCCCACCACAGGAATGTTGAATGTTATTATATTATGGTCACTATTCCCAAGCGGTCCTGGACTAAATCGAGAATTGCCTCTCCCCTTGTGGGTTCCTGCACTAGCTGCTCCAAGAAGCAGTCATTTAAGCCATTGAGAAATTTTATCTCCGCTTCTCTTCCTGAGGTAACATGTATCCAGTCAATCTGGGGGTAATTAAAATCCCCCATTATTATAGAGTTCTCTATTTTGGTAGCCTCTCTAATCTCCCTTAGCATTTCAATGTCAGTATCGCTGTCCTTGTCAGGTGGTCGGTAATATATCCCTACTGCTAATTTCTTATTATTGGAGCATGGAATTACTATGAGAGGGCAGGGCAGAGAGGGCAGGGCACTGGCGGGAAGGGGCAGGACTTGGGAACAGGTACAGATATGCTCCCCCTCAGGCGTAAGGCAAAGGAAATGCAATTTTTGAAGCGTGCCCCTTCTCTTCCTCTTTTGCCCTTTCAGTCCTTCCTAAATAGGTTCTAATCATGGATATTAATATTCCAGTGGTGTAAGTCATCCTACCAGCTCACAGTAACACTAACTAGATCGAATCTATGCTTATAAACGAGCCATTAGATTTCTTGTTTGTTCCCCCGGCTCATAGCATTAGACTGGAGTGTATGCGATTCAAAAGTATTTTCGCATCATGTCCTTTGCTTTCATTAATTTTGTTCTCAGCATATTGATGGTGTGCTGAGTGATGGCATTTTCCCTTTTTTAGCCCCCTTTTTGCCATTAATACTCTCCTGACTACTTTAGCCAGCCTCCACCTGATGAGCCTGGTCTCCCTTCAGCTGAGGTGGAGACCATCTAAACTATATAGCCCCATCTTCCTGCACAGCATGGGCTAAAGTTCCACAAAACCCAAGCCCATCTCACTATGCCACCTACCTAGCCAGCAATTCACTTCCAGAATCTTCCGCCTGTTCTTTATTCATGAGATAGGAAAGATTTCAGAGAAGGCTTCTTGGACAGTCTTCAGCATGCTTCCAAATTCCTTGAAGTCATCTACTAGCTGAACTAAGCAGTTCCCATAAGTTTACTTGTTCCCATAATATAAGAACTAGGGGCCACCAAATGAAACTAATGGGCAGCAGGTTTAAAACAAATAAAAGGAAGTTCTTCTTCACAAAGCGCATAGTCAATCTGTGGAACTCCTTGCCTGAGGAGGTTGTGAAGGCTAGGACAATAACAGGGTTTAAAAGAGAGCTAGATAAATTCATGGAGGTTAAGTCCATAAATGGCTATTAGCCAGTATGGGTAAGGAATGGTGTCCCTAACCTCTGTTTGTCAGAGGGTGGAGATGGGTGGCAGGAGAGAGATCACTTGATCATTACCTGTTCGGTTCACTCCCTCTGGGACATCTGGCATTGGACACTGTCGGCAGACAGGGTACTGAGCTGGATGGACCTTTGGTCTGACCCAGTATGGCCATTCTTATATTCTTAAGGCAAGCCTTGGTATAAGAAGTCACTTGTGAGATGAAATCAAGATCTGCAAAGAAAAGCAACTAATGGGGGTTTTGAGGTAGTCACTCCTGCTACCCATTCTGTGCTTGGGGGTAATAGAACTTGGTGAGTGGTGAGACTGAGCCATCTGTGAACTGTTTGTTCTTGGTTCAGAGGCTTAGAAACTAGACTGTAGGGAAGCCTTTGGAACATTGATTGTACCCTGCTAATGGCCATGTGTCCCTAGCTCTTGGACCTTCTCTCAGCTCAGCTTTTTGACTCCTGAGTGGTTAATCTCTCCCTGGTGGGGAGGTGAAGCTTAAGCAGCACAGACAAACTGAAGCAGCTGATGAAAATTTTGAAAAGAAGCAACGGGAACCTTGGAGAAACTCGCACAGGTTTTCTCTCTTCTGGGCTCTAAATCTCATTGCTTCTTTTCTTGGTCTCTCACTCAGAAAACTCAGGGTATGTCTACACTACAGTGTTATTTCGAAATAGTTAATGCGAAATAAGTTATTTTGAAATAACACATCTACACACAAAATGCATTTTGAAATGGCGTTTTGCTATTTTGAAATAGCGCGTCCACACTGAGTGGACGCTAAATCGCATTTAAGGCCGGCCGGAACCAGGTCCAGCAGGGCATCAGGTCAGGAGTTACTTTGTGTGGCTGCTGCCTGAGGCTATCTGAGGCCTGTGCTTAAAGGGAACCCCCCTGGACAGCCAGTTCTCAGCTTTCCCTGCTTCCTTGCCTACCTCCATGAGGGACAGAGAAGCATTTTGTTTCTGTGTGCTCTGGTTGCCCTCACTCAGGACACCACAGCACTCTGCAACATGGAGTCAGAGCTGCCCCTGGGCACTCTGGTGCTTCTCTTGGATGCGTTGCTGTGAGCCTGGCTGCACTTGCTGCAGCCTGCCATCTAGGAGGTCCATCCGGGGGCTGTCAGTATCCAGGAGGCCCTGTTGGAGAGTTTCTACCTTTTTAAGGGCTCCGGGGAGGGAGAGGAGTGTTCTTGGTTGAGGCTGGAGTGGCCACCAGGGCACCCTGGGAAGGCCCCCTATTTTGATATAAGTGTCTTCGCAGCACTTATTTCTAAATAGCATGAGGTTTACCTAGTTCGAACTAAGCACTCCGCTAGTTCGAATTAAGTTCGAACTAGCGGAGCGCTAGTGTAGCGCTTATCAAAGTTAATTCGAACTATCGTCTGTTAGTTCGAATTAACTTTGCTGTGTAGACATACCCTCAGTCTGCAGTTAAAAATGCTCAGGTCTCCTGTATGCTTCTATGGCAACATTTCTGAGCTTTCCAATATAGTCTACTCCCCAAAACATTTGTCTCTAAAAGATTGTGCCACAGAGATTTTGCACTCTCCTCCCACTCCAGAGCGGATTTATGAGACTCCTTTGCTCAAGTTACAGAAAAGAATCATTTGCCCAGCTCTTAAGCAGGGACGCAACAGATGGAAGTCAGTGGAAAAACATGAGCCTCACGCCAGGCCAGCCTCATTTCTTGAAGGAGAGAGTTGTTAAGAAAACGGATGCAGACTTCTAGGGAAAACACTGTGGGCAATCAGACTGGGCAGCCAGGCTGAGTGGTTGAAGCACTTGTGCTCCTTGGGAAACACAGACAACCAGGGCCGGATTAAGACCTTTAGAGGCCCTAAGCACTGAAAAGATTCTGGTGCCCCTCCCTATGTAATTCAAAATAAAAACAATATTATACTGTAAAATCTCTTTTTTTGTGTGTGTGCCCCTGCTTTGCTGATGCCCTAAGCATGTGCTTAGTCTGCCTATTGGGTAATCCAGCCCTGCAGACAATGGTTCCTTGGAGAGAGAAAAGGAATAGAAACTTTCAGTGCCACATAGAGCCTGGTTGTACAGTCTCTACAGGGACATTGTATGTTAATGTCAAAGGGCCAGACCTGGGCTTGCACGGCAATGGCTGCCCTGGGAGTTGTGCATGCAACAGCAGAAAGCCCCAGAGGAGAGCTCAGGGGAAGAACAGCACCCATGTCCTACAGTAAGCAGCACTGCAGCCCACACACATCTGGGCCCGTACACAGGGATCATTGTGCAGGTCCCCACTGCTGGTTTCTCCTGTGACTGCTGATAATTATCCTACAGCTGGAGATGTGTCTGTAACCCCTCTGCTATTAGAGACTTGGATTGATGCCATTTGCTTCTCAAGGGAGACACCTCCCCCTTTCTTCCAGGTCACCCTCCCTTCTCTTCCCCAGAAGGGTTCTGCTGTGCAAAGCGTGATGATGTCTATGTAACCCACTGAGGTCGGTGTAAGTCCTCCTCTGTGCTGATCCATGGGGGGTATGAAGTATCAAACTTTCTCTCTCTGTCTCTCTCCCTCACACACACACACACATTGGAGATTTGTGTGTCTGACTATCTGCGAGTCCAGTTGTTCAAGAACTCCTAAACCAGCGGTAGGCAATAATTTTTGATGGGGGCAGGGAGGATCATTCTAAGAATTTGGTAAGTGGTCCAGGGCCATGGAGGAAGTGCAGGGTCTGGGATGGAGGTTGAGTGCAGAAGGGAGCTTGAGGTAAGGGACTGGGGTGGGAAGGACTTTGGATGAAGGAGGGACTTGTGACCTGGGGCAGGAGACTGGGGTGCTAGATCTGGGAGGGGGTATAGGTGCAGGAGAGGATTCTGATCTGGAGGAGGGGTGTAGGTGAGGATAGGGGGGGGGGTTGTGTCCGGGAGGGGGTTGTGACCTTAGGCGGGAGTGCAGGGATTTGTGTTGTGACTGGGAGTAGGAGATTGGGATGCAGGGTCTGGGAGGGAGTATGGGTGCAGGAGCAGGAGTGCAGAATGTTTGAGTTACATGATGGGGGCTGCAGGGTGGGGAGGAGAGAGTTTGGAGGAGGGAGGGACTGGGGTGCCAGAGACAGGTTCTGGCCGGGAGGTGCTTACCTGGGTGGCTCCTGGCCAGAAGCCCCACAGGTTCCTCAGCCAGGCTCTCTGTTCTCCATGCCCCCCACAGGCCACTCAGAGCAGTTATGTGCTGCTCTGAACGCTGTGAGCCCGGGGAAGGGAAGTACTTCACTCACTCCCTGAAAACAGGCAGCTCCCAATGGCTGGGCTGTGGGCCGGATCCAGCGGCTTGGCAATTTAGTAATGTCATAACTGCTAAATACAAACTGCTCACAATAACATTTTCTATCTTCTAGGCATGTAAATGTTTGTGTGTGTGTCTCCTTCTACATGCCTAGTGGTTTAATATCCCAACAATAAGGATATGACTCAAGAAAATGAATGCATTCTTTGGATCTGCCCAGTACTGGTAATGCTGATATGTGGTCTGGAGTATTTTGAAGCTCTTGGAACCCACAAGAACAGTGGAATTCCAGTGCTTTACTATGCAAATCTAAGCAAGCCCGGGCAATGGCTGAATAGTTTTCAGTGTCATCAGCGGATGAAGTACAAATAGCAGAGCAATCTTTGGTCTTGCAGTACCAGGTTTAAGAGAGATTTCATGTTAGAGGAGTCACACCACAGGCACTTTGTCAGGTAAGATTTTATAGTTTGTAATTCAGACTTTTTGAAAGGCCTTATCCAGATGTAACTAGAACAATTTCTACCGTGAGTATAGAAAAAAGCCAGGTACTATCTGGCAGATACTTCTAGTTTGCAGGAAAGCCACAGAGACGTAATTATCGGTTGACTGATATGACAATACCATGTGTAAAATGACTGGCATCTAATCAGTCTTTGCATACCACTGATAGAATTAATGATAAAGGGCTAAGATGTCATTATACAGTGTTTGTTATATGTTTAGTACAGACAGCATGATTAGCTCTGTATGAGACACAAAAGAAGACAAAGCCCATATCCTCAGGATTTTTACATCAGAATACGGATTTTACAGTGTAATTTTAAAATATATCATGACTAATGTTGAAATAAAAAGTAAAAGAATAAATAAAAACAATCTGTTTAACCATTCCATGCGATTTGCTGTAATAGGATCTTTTGGAGCTTTAAAATAATAATAATGAAGGTCTTACCAGCTCAACATGAACATAAAAATTCCATAGGATTTTTTACAACAGTAGGAGATTACACCACTTTTCTGGCCAATATTGCTAGTCCCACCAATGTTATGTCTGTCCTCCGTCCCAGAGACTGTTTGATGTTTTTTAACGTTTCTTCTATAGCTATCTTGCATCTGATTCCAGCAGCCCATAGCCATATTAAAGGTGATTTAATTTTACCTGACTCTGCAAACAGTCTCATTGGATTCACACTAGACCTGATCTTTGAAACCTAGTCAGCGTCCGCTGTGATCATATTTATTTCTAGATTTTCAGAAACACCTAGCATCCTTTGGGCACCAAGCTCTTTTAGAAAAATGGCCCTAAACCACTACTTTGTTGTTTAAATAAGGGTGGTAGAATCAGTCCGAGCCATGTTAATGATCACCATGTGTTGTCAGTAAGGCAATATACATTGTAGCTTATGTATATCTTTCCCAGTATAAAAATCTTTCAGAACATTGTTTGGAGATCACTCTTTAAATAGAGTAAAGGACAGTTGTTATTTTACATAAACGTCTCTTCCCAGAAGATAGATCATTTCATGATTCCTAGGTGCCTTTGCTGCATGCTTTCTCCATGGGCAGGCGTGGGATGTAGGGGAATGTACATTTCAACACAGAAATCTAAACCCTGTCCCAACATGCACACACCATGTGTAAACAAGTGCCTTGTCTCAAGTCATAACAGCATTTTAGAAGATTTCTTTCATGGGGATTGTGATGCCCAAAAGCCACAGTACTGTTGGCTTCTCTTTTAGCTATAATAAAGTCAGATTAATAATGTAATAGTTCAAGGTAACCATGATGAGGTCATGTAATTAACATTGTGACTATATTCCATGCCAGTTGGCTCAAACTTCACTGTGTAAGAAACTCTTTAAGAGTGGCTACAGAGAATTTTTTGAATGATTGCATTGACAAACAGTTCATTCATCAGCATTCTGGTTAATTAAAAGAGACTGTTCATGGGGAAGGCATATGCGAGGCACTAAAAGGTTCTTGAAGGTGATTAAATATAGAAGCCAAGCTGAGGTGACAACACAAAGGCAGCTTCCTACTTTGTACATTCCAGCACAGTGGTCATTATTCTTATTATATGGGTGTGCATATGTGAACACTGTTTTTCTGGCCCCACATGAATCTGAGTGATTCTGTGTCACTGTGTTCCAGGAGTCAGATCCAAATCTCATTGGCTGGGCTGGTGGCTAGATCAAATCCTAGAAGTTTCCACTCATGTTGCTCTTGGAGAGGGTGCCTAACTGTTCAAAGGTAGGTTCCAAAAGATGAATATTTTCCAAGGGCTGGGAGCAGGTTGTGCAGAAGCAAGAGTGAGCTGAGTGCACGGCTGTGGACATTTCAGACTTGGGCATCTAAGGCCTTCTTTACACTTAAAAGGGTTTGTTGTTGTTATTTGTTTTGTTTTTGCTGCTTTAACTATGCCATAATAGTTAAAGTGGCAACACTTTCACAGTTATGTCAGGATAAAAATATTTGTGCTGCATTTATATTGGTATGACTGCATCTGCAGCAAGGCTTTCACTGGCAGATTTGTGTTGGCAAAAAGTCGCCTGCTCCCAACTGATGTAGCCTTGCTTGTACAGCTTGAACCTTTGTTAACCAGGACTCCCTGGTCCAACAACTTCCGTGGTCCTGCTGGATCATGGGTATTCCAGGACCAGAGAGTCCCAGTGGAAAGCTAGTGGCTGAGCTCCATGTATCTGGGCTGCTTGGTATGCTGCAGCTGGGATGCTACATACAACCTGCCAGGGCCAGGAGCCCAGCATGCTGCCACAGGAGGGCTGCCCGGCACATCCAGGAGTGCCACGCGCCTGTAGAGGGGTTGCCCGGCACATCCAGGAGCCCAGTGCATCAAGGAGCTCAGCGCACCTGCTGGTGCATCCAGGAGCCCAGCACACCTTTAGCAGGGCTGCCAGGTGTGGCCAGGAGCCCAGTGTGCAGGGAGCTGGGCTACCTGTCTTAGCAGGGAAGGGGAAGGGAAGTGGTAGGGCAGCGGGGCTGGCAGGGAAGGAGGGCCCCCAGGAGACTGGCGATCCAGGGCTGGGGAGCCAGTAGAAGGGGGGCAGATATGATCTCCCCAGGTCAGCAAAATTCCTCTTCTGGGACTGGTCAGGTCCCAAGTGAGCCGGAGCAGGGAAGTCCAACCTGTAAATCTTTCATTCAGTGTAGACCACACCAAAGTCATGGTGCCCAGTTATATATCTTGGCCCTAAATTTAGGCATTTAGATGGGTATTTGGGCAATTTTCAGTGTCCAGTTGCTGAACTAAGGGAAATGTGGGCTAGATTAGATTACTATAAGGTGCATGCACAACTAGCTGGAAGACTATACTCAAAGAGAAGTTATCACTGGTTCACAAGTTATCAATGGTTCACTGCTAAAATGAGATGGCATATCTACTGGGGTGAGATAAGTCTGATACTAGTTAATATTTTCATTAATGATGTGGATAATGGAGTAATGAAGTGGAGAGTATCCTTATAAAATTTGCAGATGACACCAGGCAGGGAGGGATTGCAAGCACTTTGGTGGATAGGATTAGAATCCAAAATGTTCTTGACAAATTGGAGAATTAGTCTGAAGATGAAAATCTATACAGGCAAGTGCAAAGTACTGCACTTCGGAAGGAAAAATCAAATGTACAGCTATAAAATGGTGAATAACTGGGTAGGTAGTAATACAGTTGAAAAGGATTTGCGCTTATAGGAAATCACAAATTGACTTGGCACTTGACTTAGAACTGGTGAGGCCTCAGCTGGAGTACTACTGAGTCTAATTTTGGATGCCACACTTTAAGAAATATATTGACAAACTGGAGAGACTCTAGAGGAAAGAAATAAAAATTATAAAAAAAATTAGCAAACCTGAACTATGAGGAAATTCTTGCTAAAATAAGATTTAGAAAATAAGGGGGAACCTTATATAAAGAAGATGGTGATAAATTGTTTTCCATGCTCACTGCGGTTAGGGGGCAAGAAATAATCAGCTTGGTCTGCAACAAGGAAGGTTTAGGTTAGATATTAGTAAAAGTTCCCTAACTAAAAGGGCATTTAAGATTTGGAACAGGTTTCCAAGGGAGGTTGTGGAATCTCCATCATTGGCAGTTTTAAAGAACAGGTTGCACAAACACTTGTCAGAGCAGTCTGGGTGTATTCGGTTCTGTCTTTAGAACAGGGGGCTGAATGAGAAGATCTCTTGTGTTCGCTTATAGCCATACAGCTCTAGGATTCTATGAGCATGTGAACATCCATATTGGAAATTTGGGCTGGAAGTATAAATAAATATTTAAGGTTCATTTGTGAAAATATTTTTTCTTGGTTGTGATTGGCTAAATTCCTCTTCTCATCTTATAATCTATTTCTATCATGGTACCACCTACAGAACCAAGCTAAGATTGTGTCAGGCACTGTACACAGTAGGGTTGTTAAACAGTTAACCAATAAGCACACTGGTAAGAACGAGGCTTACTTGTTTGCTTACTGGTTAACCAACGCTTGGCAACAAACTCCAGCGGAAGCCAGTTGTACTGGGCCAGAGCAGCTACTGCCATGGAGGGACCAGCAGGCTGGGCAATGGGACCCCCTGGTCACAGCCACGGCAGGGCCAGATGGTGGGCCGAGTGGCAGGAGTTGAGTCAAAATAGTTAACTGGTGAAACTCTCATGTTTAACTGGTTAACTGTTTTAGCATCCCTAGTACTTACACAGAATAAGACGCTCGCTGACATACAGAACTTTTACAGTCTAAACAGATGAGAGGGACAGAGAAGAGGCATTATTGGAAGCAATGGTACTAAAGTGTGCCTGGCATTAATTAGGCACATACCCACTCTCCTCTGACTGGCAATTCAGAGTTATTGCTTTGCTGAGTTGAGCCCACTATCACCTTCTCAGCTCTGTTCTTCTTCTCCCATCTCACTCCTCCATATGTTCCACTCCATTTCACCAGCTGCTGTTCCTGATGGCATTCAGCCCATTCCACTATTCTCCCGACCACCTCTTTTCTCCAGATATCACTTCTCCTGGTGCTGGACTTCTGGACAATATGATCCCCCCTAGCATGGATCTCAGTAACCATGGTCTGCAAAGAGACGGGAGCTTGGGCTCCTTTCAGCTGTGTCACAGTCCTGCTGGGAGTGTTGGTGTTTTTAAGATTTAATTAGACATTAAGCACAAATAACAGCTGATTCTGGGAGGAGGGCAGATGACTTGTGTCTCTTCAAAGGCATAGCATGAAACCAGGTTGCGAAAGGTTCTGAACAGGATTTTTACAGTGAAGCTGAGAGACAAGTTGCTTTAGGGACTATACTGGTTCCCATTTCCCCGCAAAGTTCCTTGTTCAGGGTTAAAGGAAGAGACTCTTTGGTCGTTGGTGTGGGAAGTAGGAATACAGGGGGTGCTACATTACCCCTCAGATTTTGAGCCCCCGCTAATTGTCCCAGCTACCAGCTCCAGAAGGTACTGGCTGCCGGCCCCACCACTGCCTCTGAGGGTCCCCGACAGCGACCACATGGTTAACAATAAGCAATGAAGATGTAGCAGCACAGATAACAGCTTGAGCTAGCCACCCACCCTGTCTGGCAGTGCCCCTGGGTACATGTTCCAGTGGCTAGCCCAAGCTGCCACTCCTGATTTCAGTGTGGACACACTCTTCCTGGAACAACAGATTGGAAGGGGTCATTCATCTCAGTGAAAGATGAATTCAAATGTCTAGTGATAATTTTATGTCAATATTTTCCATTTCATTCCTTATGTAAAAAAGGAGAGGAGAAGCACAACGAACTGTATGGCACTTCTCAAGTAAATATCATTTTGGAGACATTGCTTCTTTTCCCCCTAAATCAAAAAGCCAACTCCAAGAAGACTATGTTCACAGCATACAAACAGAGAGGTTAAATTAAAAAACCATGCAGTACTCTTTCTGGAAGATTGCAGTGTAATACTACAATGTTATACTACTTTTCATCTTAGAATCCAGACCCTTAACACACAGTGACCAAAATCAGAGCGAGACAAAGTAGGCTGGCCCGTAAGATGGAAATGCACAACTCAGATCCTCTTTTCCAGGTTGGCTTTTTCCAAGCTGACTGCTGCTCCCAGATCATGACCTTCTTTACAGTGCCTCCAAGCAGGACCAGGAGCTGCTGTCTTTCTCTATCTCCTCCCACCTTGTCCCTCTCTTTTAAAATGATAGCATGCAACCATAACACTGTCCTCAATATACTACATCAGTGGTTCCCAACCTTTTTTACACTATGGACCCACAAACCCATTCACAAACTTTTGGCAGACCAGCAACATTTTATTTGCATATTTGCAAATTTGTTATTAAATAATGAATATGCAAGTATGCAAATAAAATGTTACCGGTTTGCCAAAAGCCCTGGCCCCCAGAGCCACTGCAAACAGCTTTCTTCATCTCCACCAGCCCCCTGTCCCTTATAGCTCCCTCCACACCAGACCCTCCAGTGCCAGCCTCCTGTTTCCAGAGCCCTACTGTCACAGGAGACCATGTCAGAGGGTGATGAGGCCTTAGCCCTGGCTGCCGGAAGAGCTGCGGGCCTCCCGCCATGTGGCTCCAGCTTTGGTTCTGGCCAAGGCTGCCAGAGCAGCCATAGGCTGCTTGTGACATGACTCCAGCTCTGGCCCTGCCTGGAGCAGTTGCCACCCACCACGCGGCCTGCAGCTCCAGCCCTGAGGGAGGGCTGAAGCTAGGGCCAAGGTCATGTGGTAGCTGCCCTGCTGCTCCTGGGAGGTGGGTGGGCCTCAGAGAGAACATTGAGTGGGCAGTGTACTCCAGTCCCCAGAGCCACCGCAGCCTGGCAGCCAGTGGTTCACAGACCAGCAGTTGAGAAACCCTGCACAACAGAGCTAGCCCTGCAAAGTCCATGGATATATTCACTCTTAGGGTATGTCTAGACTACATGGCTCCATTGACGGAGCCATATAAACTAGTTTACCCAACTTAGTCAATGAAGCAGGGATTTAAATAATCTCTTCATTAAAATAAAAATAGCCACCGTGCTGTGCCGACAATCAGCTGAGCCGGCAGAGCGTGGCAGTCTAGACGCGGATCGGTCAACAAGGGAAGCCTTTGTCGACCGCTCCCTTATGCCTCGTGAAACGAGGTTTACAGGAGCGGTTGACAAGGGAAGCCTTTGTCGACCGATCCGCGTCTAGACTGCCGTGCTGTGCCAGATCAGCTGATTGTCGGGACTTTTAATGAAATGGGTATTTTTAAAATTCCCTCTTCTTTGCCTATGAGGGTATGTCTAGATGACATGGCTCCGTCGACGGAGCCATGTCATCTAGACATACCCTTACTGAATATAGACAATGTAGCCAAACTCATGGAGCTCAGAGAGCACACAATTGTATTCTTAACATCTGAAATCCACTGTGAGTAGTAGCTTATTTTAGTGATTTGTTTAGCGAGAGCTTATTTTGTGGGAAGAGGTTGGAAGAGTTCTACCATATCCCCCCAAAATCTGATGGCTGCAGATTGGCAGTATTGGGGAATTTAATCTCAAGAATCTCTTGTTTGTGTGTGCGAATGTCAAGTGGTTACCATTTATTTTCTTGTCATTCTGGCCAGATGAATTCTGCACGGTTTAGTCTTAAAAAACTCTAGTGCAGCTGTTACTGTCCAGAGAATACATGCAACAGATTTTTTTTAAAACTGGAAAAATTCCAGACCAGAAGCTTAACTGACATTTATTCTCCCACATCAAGTTCTTACAGATTAGAGGTTGAAAAAATGTTACTGAAATAATAATTCACATATTGCAGTATTTATTTTGCAGTTAGGGAGGACTTTAACAATGAGGACAAAAAGGGAAAAAATGGATTTGTGCCTCTTTTTGTTTCATTTTGATAGAGGCAGAAAGGGCAGGGGGAATCGACTAGTCGGCTGACTATCCTTAACATTCTTAATGTGCACCAGATTCAAATACCGCCCAGCTGATTAGCTGATTAGCAGAGCACCCACAGCTAGGCTATGTCTTGTGCCAGAAATATGCAAATGAGGCTAAGCGTGGAATATCGCCAAGCCTCATTTGCATATCTAATGAGCCTCCATTTTTGCGGAAGAGGCTCTTGCACCAAAAGGAGCTGTCTACACTGCCCCTTCTTGTGCAAGAAAAACCCTCTTGTGCAATGCCGTTATTCCTGAAAATAATCAGCATAACAGCATTGCGCAAGAGGGTTTTTCTTGCGCAAGAAGGGGCAGTGTAGATGCTCCTTCTTGCACAAGAGCCTCTTCCACAAAAATGGAGGCTCATTAGATATGCAAATGAGGCTTGGCGATATTCCACGCTTAGCCTCATTTGCATATTTCTGGCACAAGACATAGCCTAGCTGTGGGTGCTCTGCTAATCAGCTAATCAGCTGGGCGGTATTTGAATCTCTCCTGAGTGGCCACATAAGCGCACAGCTTACCGGGAACATTAGTGCTGGATGCAGGCTCTGGGAGAGATTTTGAGAGCGGTGAGGGGTCGGACTTTGGGAGGGAATGTGGGGGTGGGATAGGTCAGTTGCAGGCTCTGGAATGGAGTCTGGGTGCTGGGTGCAGGTTTTGGGAAGGAGTTTGTGGGTGGAAGGCATTCAGTGCTTACCTGGGGAAAACCCCTCTGACAGCAGCTCCTAAGCCAGGGGGCTCAGGAGGTCTTCATGTGATGCTGCCCCAGGCACCACCCCTGTAGCTCCCATTGGCTACAGAGGAACTCGAGACAGAGGCAATGCAGGGAGACACACACATACCACCTGCCCAGGGGCTGCAGGGATGTGCCAGCAGCTGTGTGGAATGAACAGGCAGGAAACCACTTTAGCTCTGCTGTGTTCCCTGGGGTCCCTGCCCCTGGGCCTTTTAAATTGCTGTGTGAGGAGGAGTGTGTGTGGTAGGCAGGGCTGGAGATGCTCTGTGGGGCATGCAGGGACAGCAGGCTGGACCAGGGAAGAGACCTGGCCCTGAATGTAGTTGGAGCAGAGCCCCCAGGATTATTCCTGGAACTGGGCACCATGAATCCATATAACTCACTGTCCTTGAAACCAGGGACAAGTTGAATGTCCTGGCTAATTACAACTGTTATGGTGGGCTCCACGATACAAGTTATACAGCGAGAGAACTTGGCAACTTTTCTACATTTTTTCTGGCTGAAAAATGCTGATTTGTAGAAATCCAAACTGTTCATGAAACAGTGTGAGGTTCAAGACACCTGACTAAAAAAAAAAAAAATGCGGTTAAAAAGTTTCAACTTCGTTGAACCAAAAAATTTTGGTGTTTCAAGTTGTTCTAAATTTTTATTAAATTTACTCTAGTAAAAATATTTAAAAAAGAAAAAAGTCAAAATGTACACAAAACATTTCAATTCACCAGAACTGATTTTTTTTTCTTCAGTTAATGATTGTTTTTGAGACTTCAACTTCATCCTAATGTGTGGGTGGGGGAAATATTTGAAATGTCGAAGAAAATTGTCAGAGGTTAGGAAAACAGCTTCCCACCTAACCCTAGTTAAAACCAACACCTAAACGTAACTGTACACGCTCTCCATCTCTTACACCCCATTTATGATCTGGGGACAATTTAGCCAATATGGGTGGACATAGATGCAGACATACCAGTTTCACTCTGCTTCAGTGGTTAGCTGCTTGCAGATTTTGAAGCCTGGTCATTGCAATAATTCACAATAGGTTTTGGTTATTCCTCAGAAAGAACTTCAGGAGGCATTGCCAGCAGTGCTCCCACACTGTATGGGCAGCATGGACCTTGGTGACACCTGGAAGCTGGATGAAACCAACTGGCTGACTCACAATGGCATTTTTTACTTTGCTAGTGACCGAGGAGGTACGGAAGTTGTGTAGCTTTGAATCAGCCTAACTATTTAGTATGTCTCTCACTCTGTGTGCCCCAGACCCAAAGCCTTCCCATCAACAGTTTTATGGAAACCAAAATGTTTTGCTTCAGCAAATGTTCCCCCCCCCCCAACTCTATTTATTTCCCTTTAGTGCTGGTGATGGCCAATCTTGGCATTAGTTACAAGTGATGGGAATTGTCCAGGGTATTGTATGGCCTCTATCACCACAAATGCTTTCAAACTATCAGACCTTGTCCTCTGGCTCAGGCAGTGGGGGGGCTTATGCCACATGATACACAGCCAACCTGTGGAACTCATTGCCAAGGGATGTTGTGAAGGCCAAAACCATAATTGTGTTTAAAAAAGAACTAGATAAGTTCACAGAGGATAGGTCCATCATTCGCTATTAACCAAGATGGTCAGAGATGCAGCTCCATGCTCTGGATATCCCTAGTCTTTGATTGCAAGATGCTGGGACTGGACAACAGGGATGGATCACTTGATATTTGCCCTGTTCTGTTCATTCCCTCTGGGGCACCTGGCATTAGTCACTGGCATTAGACAGGATACTGGCCTAGATGAACAGACGTTTTTGCGCAAAAACTCGTGGAGCTTCCGCACTACAAGCACATTTTTGTGCAAGAAAAAGTACCGTATATCATCAGTTGACAGGGCTTTTTGCACAATTGGTATTCCTCTTTCTACGAGGAATAAATCTTTTTATGCAAGAGCTCTTGCGCAAAAAGGCGCATGTGGACGGACACCAGGGCTACATCTATACTGCAGGCTTCTTGTGCAAGAACTGTTTTGCGCAAGAGCACGTCCACACTGCCATGTGCTTTTGCGCAAGAGCATCCATGGCAGTGTGGACGCTCTCTTGCGCAGGAAAGCTCTGATGGCCATTTTAGCCATAGGGGCTTCTTGCACAAGAAACCCCTGTTGCCTGTCCACACTGCCTTCTTGCTCAAGAGCTCTTGCACAAGAGGGCTTATTCCTCGTGAGGAGAAGAATAACTCTGTTCAGACGCTTTACTGTAAATTTACTTGCACAAGAACATGTGTGCAGTGCAGACGCTCTGTAAGATTTTGCACAAGAACGGCTGGTCTTGAGCAAAAAGCCTGCAGTGTAGACGTAGACCAGAGAATTCTTGTGCAAGAAACCCCTATGGGAAAAAGCACAGGTGCTCTGATGGCCATTCTGTGAATGGCTATCAAAGCTTTCTTGCACAAGAGCATCCATGGCAATGTGGACACTCTCTTGCGCAAAAGCACATGGCAGTGTGGACGCACTCTTGTGCAAGAACTTTTTGTGGAAGATCTCTTCCACAAAAAGTTCTTGCACAAGAAGTCTGCAGTGTAGACATAGCCCCTGAACCTCATACTCCTGCACCCCAACTCTCTGCCCCAGCCTTGAGTCCCCTCCCATATTCAGAACCTCTTGGCTCCACTCCCACCACATGAATTTTATTATGTGCACCAATATGACGGTAATGTGTCACACATCATCTCCATGTTGCACATCACCTCCACATTGGTGCACATCAAAAAATCATTCTGCTCCAAGGTAGGAAAAATTAGAGAGAACACTGGTCTAATGTACTTGAATATTTTCACAAAAAATAGAACTGCTTTTCCTCACAGTGCAATCTGGGAATTGTAGGGGTCAAGAAGGCAGTTCCACAGTAGTTTGTTTGAAGTGAGACTAGATAAAGTAACAGATAATCTAAGGTTCCTGGAATAATTACTTTGTCCATTTTTAATATCTAGAAGAAAACATTTGATGTGATCTTACCTCATTTCTCATAACTGTTGTTGAACTTTGGCTATGTGCTCAGGGCTGTATTTTTCTTTCATATTTACATTATGGTAGTTCCCAATGGCCCTGATCCTGACTGTGCTTGGGTCTGAACAGAGGTAGACATGGTCACTGCCATCAATAATTTACAATGTAGGAAGACAGGAAAAGTATAAGGGCAGAGAAAAGAGGGGTGATAACAAATAATGATTAGCTACATTCATACACTTTGTATAGGTGTGTTTTTGCATCTGTCCATCTGAATTCCAATCTTCTCTATGGTTTTACAAAAACATACACAGGTTGAACCTCCCTGGTCTGGCACACTCGGAACCTACTGGTCCTGAATGAGAGATTCCTGTGTGACTGGGCAAGTCACTTTGCTTCTTTGTTCTTCAGTTCCCCATCTGTTAAATGGGGATGATTCACAGGAAAAAATGAAATAGTGATTCTAAAACTGTCAGGGTATGTCTACACTACAAAGTTAATTCGAACTAACAGACGTTAGTTCGAATTAACTTTGATAGGCTCTACACTAGCGCTCCGTTAGTTCGAACTTAATTCGAACTAGCGGAGCGCTTAATTCGAACTAGGTAAACCTCATTCTGCGAGGACTAACGCCTAGTTCGAATTAGCTAGTTCGAATTAAGGGGTGTGTAGCCACTTAATTCGAACTAGTGGGAGGCTAACCCTTCCCAGCTTGCCCTGGTGGCCACTCTGGCCAACACCAGGGAAACTTGTCTGCTCCCCTCCCATCCCCGGAGCCCTTAATGGGCCATGGGCTGGCTACACAGTTTGTGCCAGTTGCAAGGCTGCCAGCACCCAGCCAGCAGACCCTGCACCTGCCACAAGATGACCCAGCCACCCGATGTCACCCAGCCCTCCCCCTCTTCCCGGGACCAGCCTAGCGGCTCCCCGGGGCCCGCC